AAGGCGATTCAAAGTCATGTTCGTAAACAAAATAATTGTCCTAGTTTTGATAATAAAAGAACGTCGTCTCGCATACCGACGGAACAGGCATCGTTTGTGTCGATTTACACGGTCAGTATAAAACATGGACTGAGGACGGCGGACTGCGGACTACGGACTGGGTATAAAGCACGGACTTAGGTTTAAAGCGCGGACTAAGCATTACGGACTGGGTATATATAAAACACCGACTGAGGTATAAAACGCGAACTGCGGACTAAGTCCGTGTTTTTTACTGACCGGCCGTAACTAATATTAGGTAATACATGTATAAATGAGAACAAATCCTCTCGTTATGCACGTGCTTTGCGATTAATTCATTTGTTTTCGCTCCTGCTGGATGGAGACCAATTTCACCGTCCGGCGTCTACCTAACAGCTCAGGCACAAAATCCTATTCATAGAATTTTTGCTTTTTTAACATACCAAACCTATGTGAAGGTGAATTAATCAACATGACACGAGCGAGGAATCGAACCCAAACCTACCAAAACTCGAACGCACTCTTTAATGTACGATTACTACTGGTTGTTAAAAAAATGTTGATCAAGCGTAGTCCGGCGTTGTCGCTTCCAGTACAGTATTATTAAAAGTTCACGCTATACTTTTTCCCAGGATGTTGTTGTTGTCATGAATCATTGTTGTTTCAATTTTTCCTTTTGTGAGCGTGATGAATAAAAACAAATTAAATGATAATAAAAAGGAAAACATAAATAAACCGTTAGAAACATACTTACCTTTATGTCGGCTCTGAGTGCTTATAACTCAATATTAGTTAAGTGATCCTCATAATTTCACTGCTGAATTGTGATCAGCAAGTTTAAATATTATTCTGTGGTAGGGGTTCAGAACCAGCTTTTAAATGTTCGAAAATTAATGTGTCTCTGAATCCCCGTTGTTGAATTAAGAATTGCACCTAAATATAAGGATCACAAATCGGTAGTTACCAAGTTTATAGGCACCCAAAGGAGAAAATTAAGGGAGTTTGACGGACGTTTGTAATGTTGGACAAAGAACATCAATGTTAGCTAATCATGTACACCACTTAACTCAGTCAAGCAAAGAGTCAGTCGAGTTATTAGCCGACACTGAACCAATCAAGGTTGAGTCAGGGAATGATAATATAAGGGTGCGTTCCTTTAGGGTGATCTGGATCAGGATCAGTGATCCAAGATCACTCGGATCATGGTGCATGCATCAAAGGAACCGATGAATCCGCTCTAATCACGGATTCATCGGTTCCGTTGATCAACTATGATCCGAATGATCTTGGATCACTGATCCTGATCCAGATCACCCTAAAGGAACGCACCCTAAGTAAGGACTAAGCAACGGATTTTTACTCAATAATACAAGTAATCAGTTTACTGTCAGCTTTTTCTTTTCACGTTGCTCTTATCACGTCAACAATAAATTGATCGTCGATACAAAAGAAACTTGGCATGAGTCTGTGAATGTTCTGCTGGCGGCGGTCTATAGGGAGTTCACTGCCTCAGTTGCATAATTGACCAAAAGACAATGGACTAAAAAAAGGGAAACGGGGCATGCTTTGCATAACGGGCTCCATCGCCCTATATATCCGTCTGCCTATTGTATTTGGTTGCGCTTGTTTGAGCTCGGACACGCATATCTGGTAAGTATTGGATTTGATTTCTTCTATCAGCCTATAAACCAGAAACGCTTGTAGTCTATTGCTTAACTAACCTATTCGTGCTAGGTTGTTTATTTGAACGCAGTGGCTATTCGTAGGGCACCCGTGCGGCGACTTGTATTTGCTATTCGTAAGGGATGCGAATAGCAAATACAAGTCACCGCACGGGTGCCGTACGAATAGCCACTGCGTTCAGATAAACAACCTAGCACGAATAGGTTAGTTAAGCAATAGACTACAAGTTTTTCTGGTTTATAGGCTGATAAACCACGCGGGATGCTGGAAGAACACGAGAAGAATTCAAAAAGTGCAATAATTTAGATAGGGAAGTTAAATGTATGGCTCAGTTTGGCTAATACTGCGCATCGGAATTTGCACGTGCTTCGTTTGCTGTCACACCACGAAAATACAATTTTTGCAGGAGGCATAGAGCTAGACCGGCTAAGACCCTATATAGATGGTCTCGGTTACCAGAGACAACGTTCCCCTACAACTTTATCGAGCATTTGTTGTCTTTTACCCGGGTCAAAGTCGACCGTGCGTGATTATTCAAGACGCGCGACACAAGACACAATACGTTCGCTATCGCCATGCAGAGATACATTTTTTTTTTCAGGAGGCATATAGCTAGGCCGGCTAAGACAATATTTATATGGACTCGGTTACCAGAGACAGCCCTCCTCTGCAACTTTATCGAGAGTTTATAATTATATGAGAAAAAGTTGTCTTTTGGCCGAGTCAAAGTCGACCCTGCGACCTTGTTATATATTCAAATGCGCAGTAATCCCTCTTTCTTTGAGTTTCCTTGAGTCATTCAATAACTGTGGGCTCGTTGACGTAATTAATTTTAGACATGTAATACACGTATAATACTTATTTGTACTTTAGGACCTAAAATCTAGCCAGTAACGTGTACATTCGGCACGCCATGCGCGGTTGCTGTAGTTCAATAGGCGAGCTACACTGTTTATATGAGAAAACGTTGTCTCGCTAAAGTTTCCCCATCTGCCCATCTTGATCAAAATGCTACATATTGTGCTATAATACTGATTCAGTGCACTGAAAATCTTGTCCCTTGAGCTCATTCTTTCATTCTGCTTCCATAAATTTGATCGCTGGAGCGAGCTAAGAAGGTGCATAAATACATATTTAAGTAAAAATAAATATCACAGGAGAAGTGGAGTGAAACCTAATAAAATAAAAGTAAAGTATCCGATCCTAGAGAAATCCGTGTTTAAGACTACATGATAAAAAAAAAAATCAGAATTTAAAAATTTAGTTCGTTCACAGTTAGTAAACACGCAAATAAGGATTAAGCCAGACTTTAATCTAGTGGCACGCAAATGTAACTCACGAAATCAGAGGACCAAGGCGTATTTGCATATTTGAGAGACATAAAACAGTTCTTGTTATATGGCTAGCTCCGTGAGCGGGCAAGATGAACCAAATCCTGCGCTGTGATCGGCTAGACGAGCGGACAAGATGGTGCTATCTTGCCCGCTCTGGATTACTCGCCGTGTCCTGCAAGAAAATGGTGTTCTTTTCCCTATAATAAATCCCTTATTGATCAAGCTTGTTTGGTCAAGAAAGGAATTATCATATTGTCTTGACTCCGTCTCGGTCTCATTAACACCCAAAAAAGAACTTGGCCAATATCCCGCCATCTTGACTTCACGCTTGGTCAGTAACCCATATCAGTATTAACTCTGCAAACCCAGTAATGGAATGGTTAGGAAATGGTTAGCAAAGCAAGGGACTAAATGACAGGAATTGCTCCGCCGAGCTAAAATGAACAGTAATGCTGTAAGCGGCCTGAAAAGGGTTAGCCGCCTAAATACCATGCAGTTAGGTCCAGTTTGCCTAATATGATGGCA